CATTACAGATCAATTCACTTGGTTTATCATGCTTTGTAAAATAGGTTAAATATGATACTAATTGACATTGTCTTTTTATCTTTTGTGATTAAGCTGTATATTAAGTTTATGGAATAAGTTTTTTTTTTTTCGTGTGTGAATATGTGTTTTGTGTAAATAGAAAGCAAGTGCTTTAATAACTTGCAGAAAGTAATAAGAATTAATAATGAAAATAATTGAATATCAAAACATAATAAAGTTCATATTCTCATTAAAGTTAAGGAAAATAATATTGCAAATACAATTCAATTTAGCGTGTGCAATGATTCAATTTGTCAAAAGATGTGCAACTTGAGTCATTCACTTTTTCATCTAAGCTCTAACACTTGCAGGTTATTTAAGAACTTTTTGGTATTAACTATAACTCATACAAGGGTCATCATTACCAGCCAATCTCTTAATAGTAAAATAATTATTTTTTTGTTTCCTTAGGAATTTTGTTAAGGTAGTGGGGGATTGTATACAAGGAGATCATTCACCTTTTCTACAAGGAGATCACAATTATTTACAACATTTAATTTGAAATCTGATAGTTTAGGTGTGTCACAAAATTCAAAAAAATTTATTTAAAACTTTGAGTTTGATCAATGAAATAAATACAGCCACCCAATTTCACATCTAATGGTCAAGATTATTTGTGACCACATTGTACCAAAAATAAATAGTCTCATTATATACTTTCTCAAGTAATTTTTGTTCTTATACATCTCTCTCTTACATCAATACTTTGAAATATGATCCACGTTGTTATCATGGCCCAATGACAATGTGGTTCTCACCCATTTGGGCCAATGATAGAGGGTGATTAGGGACTTCAGTTGAATATCTTCATTCCTATCAATCCCATAGATTGCATGATTACAAACTACATGATCATAGTTGTGAATATGGCTATGTGGTTTATATAATAGTTTTCCTTATGTTCTATTGGTCAGCATTGATTGTGCTAAGACATTTGAGTCATATAGTCAGATTCTCTATACTAAATGATCCCTGTAAGCCATTTTCTATAGCCCAAATGATATTTATAAACCAATGACTAGGATGTTAACACAAGTTAAAACCTTTTCCAGGAGTAGTTTTAAGAACAAACACATTTTTAAGTTATATATGTATATAGAAAAACTAATATCCTAAGGTCGAAAAGAGTATGGAATTCTTTTATAATCTCAATGTGCATAATAGAAAAAGAGATGAAGTTATCTCCAATAAGTTTGAATGTTTAAGCTAGAAATTTTATCTTTCAAACGCATGTATAAATAAAAATTCATTTGTATAACCTTACTAGATTTCCCACTATAATATCTTTTCTTTGTTAAGTATATTATCTAAATATGGTTGTACGCATCAATGTAGAATCTACAGAATAAAGAGTACTTTATAACAAAATCAGGTAAATTTTACTCATAAGTAATGGTTTTAGTAAAGGCTATTTTTAAAACGTATGAGTTTAAGCCTATAAATTGGGGAAGTAGTTTTTGCTTAAAATGATTTATAATGCTTTTGGGAAAATAAAGTTTATTTATGGTGGCATAAATTAGTTAAAAATAATAAAATAGGTCTTAGTTGAAAAAGTTATAAAATAAGATATTATAGATATCAGACTTTCAAAGATATGTTTTAAGAACATAAACCACACCTAACTCCACATCACTTCCACCAGACACGTTTCTATACATTGGAGAGATATGGCCCTATTTGAAATGGCGACTCGAGTGGGGTATTATTTGGAGTTGCGCACCGGTGTGCAACTTCAAATCGTCCTCCCCTCCTAAGTCCCATAGATGGGGCGCTGCTTAGAGTTGTGCACCAGGGTGCAACTTCATGTCATACATTATTTTTTAGCTCCCACTGATAAGGCGTTATTCAGCACTTGGGCATACTTGTCGTGCCTTTTTTTTTGGCTAGCCATATATGAGGTGCTATTTGAAGTTGTCCCTTCCTGTGGCATTATTCGAATATCATTCGCCACATGTCTCATTTGTCGGGGCTATGTCCTGTAGTTTAACATGGGATACCTGTCATCATTGCATCAATTGCAAACATGTTGCAGCACTTTGGAGCCCATGTTTTTGCATGCAAACAAACATGTTTAAAAAAATGTAACTTGGAATCGCAGATCGAGGCACGACTTCAATTCACACCCTATTTTTAGCCAAATAATGGTGCAACTGCCATTAATGCCTTGACTAGTTAGCTAGTTGTTAGGACACTTATTTCATTTCAAGAAATTGTACATTTGTTAAGGCCTTGGAAAGCCCACTTTCTGTATGGGCTTATCTTCATAGTGGAACTTGGAATCACGTACTGCGATTTGAAGTTGTGTCCTTTTTACTAGGATATTCTTTTCGCTCGAATTTTTAAGCTCTACCATTTTAAAACTCTATAAATAGCCTCACCCACAACTTTTTACCTACATTTTAGGAGACTAGACCAAGATTATGCTAGAATTTTGTGAGAAGAGAGAGAATTCTGCAAGGTATGTGCTTACCAGGTCCATATTGCTACCTATTGCTGATTCAGAGCGAAAAGAAGGCAACACTTTGTTTATTTAGCACCTTATGTTTTACTCTTAGTTATTTTCATCATTCTTTTTTCTTCCTCCAAAGGTTAATTTTCATAGTTATATTTCAATTCACTTACAATTTTCATATTACATTTCATGATTCTCTTAAAAGAAAATTGCAGCCCCTTGTCATGAGTATAAAATCACCTTCTAGATGTTAAGAGTATCGTCAGGTCCTTTAGGTATCCATCTTAAAATTCGCCTTATACTTGGAGTTTTAAGTGAATTACATAACTTGCTTCTTATCCACATTATGCATATGCAAGTTTATTGACTTATATAAACATAATCATGGATCCCATAGCCTCTTCCAAGGGTAGCAATTGTAATTCGAGTAATTTTTCCTTCTTTAACTAGTCTTCCAAGGGTAGCGATTGTAATTTGAGTATTTTTTTCCTCTCTAACTAGTTTGTACAACATCCGAAAGGTATTGGCCTCGTTACGCACCTCTATGCTCTCTCTCAAATTATAAATTTAGGAAATGAGTACTTCAATATGCAACAAATTAATTTAAAAGAAACTGAATGAAGTTCTATTTGATGGTGTGTACCCTTAGATTCCTCTGTGTTGATTTTGGAAAATCCTTGAACAGATCATCTTAACCTCGAGAAGTACAAATGCGAGGAAAAAAAAAATTTCAAGTCTTAAAAATAGTACATCATATAACAAGTTATCTGGACCTTCTATTTTAAGATTTTAGGTGTTTATAGAGCTACTCAATTTGTACTTTTTTTGTAATTTCAAATTTCAAAAGTAGGAATGAAATTAAATTTCAAACCATCATATGGTTTGTAAAACTGAAACTACATCTCGAGGCAAAATTTAACACCTTATTTCTACCGTTTAAGGAGGGTGCCTAATACAAATCTCACCCTTATTTAATAATATAAAAGTTATAATAACAAATGCAACATGAGTAATTTGATTTGGGAAAGCTTTTCTATGTTCCCACTACAACATAGAAGTTCTATCCTCCCCCTTATCCAACCGTCCATGTTTTAATGGAGGGCTAAGATTGCCCCAATCACAATGTCACTTCTCTACACTATTTTATTTATTTATTTTTTTTATAAAATATTTTGACACCAAATTGTAGATGTTCATTCCTCTATTAAACTCGCACTAACGAAAAATATATAAAAAAAAATTTCAATAAAATAAAATAACCAAAATACCCTTGAAAATTTCAAGGGGTATTTTGGTCATTATTTTTATCAAAAAATTATTGTTAATGTTTTTTATAGATGCGCCCCAATGAGAAGATGGCACATACCAAATTTTATATTCAAAAAATTTGTATTAAAAAAATTAAAAATAAAATACTTTGAGACGTCGGATTTAAGATCAAACGATGAGTGGCTTTCTCGATAAAAAATAGACGGTTGGATGGTGGGGAGAGGATAGAACTTCTATGTTGTAGGGAGAACATAGCAAGCTTTCTAACCACAAACAGTTGCTGCTGGAGTAATTTGATTTAGTGATATGCTTCTTTGTGATGGATAAATAACAAGTCACAAAAACCACAAACAGTCGTTGCCAACCTCAAAATTTAGAGGATTACAGCTGATACCAAGTTCATGCAACTAAGTTGTGCACGCATGAAATATACAATCAACAATTAAAATTGGAAATTGACCAAATGAAAATTGGGTCGAATGTAATTGTGGTGGGTCGAATGTAATTGTGGGTGCTTATTTTATCCAGGGCGCTTCTCCGCTCCTTTGATCTCTGGTGCCAATTAAGGGGGGGAGGTGTTTGCAGATTTTTGAATTATAATTTGTTATTACATGGCTTGATGTTGATGGTGACAGTGATGGTGTGATAGTGGTAATACATTGTGTGATATTGGTGATGATATCGATGCAATGGTAGTGATGGTGTGATAGTGGTAATACATTGTGTGATATTGGTGATGATATCGATGCAATGATGGTGTTGTTGGAAAAATAGATTAGTCGCAATGTTGGAGCAAGTGGTGGTAGAGGTGGGAGTGTTGTATTGGTGGTGGTAAGGTGACGGTGGTAGGGTGATGTTGGCAGCCAAGTAGCACTGGTGGGACCAGCAGTAGGGGTGTGACAGCAGTGTGGTGTGGTGCGATGGTGGTGGGGGCGTCGGAGCAGCGTGGTGTGGTGTTGTGCGATGGTGGTGGTGGTGGTGGCAGCAGCAACAGAAGTAACGGTGACTGGTAGAATAACGGTGCAATAAATTATGTTGGCGATGAGCAAATTGAACTTAAATCTTGATGTAGTTATTGCAATTTAGCAAAAAATTCAATTTGGCGTTCCAATTGCATTAGGTAATTAATTTAAATTTGCAAATCAAAATCACCTGAAGTCAAATTGCCGGCGAAATTTTTTTAAACATACTCAAATTACAATTTGGTTGGAAAATCAAATGGCGCCTCACCTCTTTCAATAATATTGATGGTTTTTTAGGCTCCAAATCTGTTTTTTGATCTTCAATAATAGGATGATCCGAATATCATCTGCTTCCATATATGCCGATGTAAACTCCAAAAACTCGCAGGCTCTACAGTCATTGGGGTGATTACATAAAAGTAGCCCCTACAGACATCCAAGTTAAAAGATAAATACATTCCCTTTTTTCCTATGGTACATAGATTTCCTATAGTGCATAAATTTTCTTGTAGTCTTCATTGAAGAGTTCTGAGTCAGAGACCACAGATAGAGACCACGACCTTGACCTACTCTCTGATGACTTCCTTATTCTCCTTGAACTTGAAGCTTCAATCCTATGTTGGATTACACAATAGCTCATGATGCCAAGAGTGCCCACCATGATCAAGCTGCCTATCACGGTCACAGCCACAGCGAGCCCCCAAGCATGGTGGCCCACCACAATGTAGGATAGCGCCACAAAGGCCACTGATATTTGAACACATGCTATCCACATGAGCTTGTTAATCACAAACATTAATTGCTTCTTTGCCTTTTGCTCGATCACCACTATAGAGGTTTGGACCACCACAACGGCTAGAGAGATAAAGAGAGCTATCGAATCTGATATGAAAAAGATGAGGAAAGATGCACTTTGAGCTATGTGGGCTTGGCCTAGAGAGTAACCAACCTCATCCTTACTCTCTGCATATTGACCAGGAACCGTGAAAATAGCTGCAAAAGCAACTGTAGCAATTAGGACTGCAACCACTGTTGCAGAGTTTATTGCGTTATTAAGGCCCCCAATATGGAGCTTCTTCACTCTTTTGGCAATTTTTTGGACCCGTTTCCCTGTTTGACGAGTTTGTTGGAGCTGAGAGTGGACCTCATGCTTTATGTCACTAACTGTTTGCTTTAGTTGGCGGGTAGGGTTTGGGGGGTTAGAGTGTTCTCTAGCGGTCAGGGCGCCGGCTCCCCTCAGTAGGGAAATGATCTCAGCTTGTGAGGATTTCTCAGCAATGTCAAGAGCAGTTTCACCCGCCTTATTGAGTGCATTGACATCGACACCCTCAACCGTCAATAAAGTTTGCAAAATCTGCAATGGAAAAAAAAAAGATGTGTTACTTCTGTTTGTTTTCTCTTTCCTTTTTACTTGGAATGGGTACCTTTTTACTTGGAATGGATGTAATATGATCCGATGGACTATGTAGTACCATACATCGCTGTGATCAACAATATCCAATAAAATGATGCCGATGGACTATGTAGTACCATACATCGCTGTGATCAACAATATCCAATAAAATGATGGAACCCCCTTAAGAGACGGTGGGACCCACTAAATAATGATATGAACCAAATGATGGTCCCTATTTTCTCTCCATTACCATCCATCTCATTGGACAGAGATGACCAATGGACTATGGTCCTCCACATTCAATCAGATAGTATTCCTTTTTCATTGGAAATTAAACATGTTACAGATAAGAATTGGATGCTATGAAAGAGATTTCATTATTCATGAAATGACAAAAATCAATGCAGTTCAAAGCATTCCAAATAAAAGAATTGGATTCAAAAGATTTGCATGTGCTGTAGTTCCTTTGTGGAAATCTAAAGTTGAATTGGGGATATCAAACAAAAAGATGATTTCTTACTTTCATAAGGGCATGAGATAATACATTATATACACCATGTGCATATAAAATGGACATAAATTATATGGAAAGAATTCTTAGGCATTCAAGAAATTTAGGGCATTGGCATCAGAATAGTGCATCGGAAGTGTGGTTGACTCATAATCGCAAATACCATGTGCCGTAAACAGTTGTCATGTCTGACAAATACAAATTACGGGTAACTTAGTGAATGTGTCATGATTTGTTATACATTTGTAAGTCATTACAATGTCATGGACTACATTCCACTATACCCCTTTTTAATTGTACCAGGGTTTGTAGACCTCTCTCACTCCTCCTTTTGCTTTCTAACTCACCAAGGCTGGGATAGGTTGGTTTGGACTCCCTCTGCCTCAGGAGTCTTCTCTGTCTCTTCCTTCTACTTGTTTCTCTCTCAACCCCTAACTTTCCCTTTGAATCCTACCTCTCGAGTGTCGCAAGCATGGAACTCTTTCGCCCCTCCAAGATTACAGGTTTTTTCATGGATAGTGCTCTCTTCAAAAGCCTTAACAGTAGACCAACTACAAAAGGAGAGGTTTCTCCATTCCTAATCGTGGTTCTATGTGCCTCAAAGACAAGGAATCTAACGCCCTGCTTTTCTTGTCTTGCCCTTTCGCTTTTGAAGTGTGGGGCAAATACTCTCTCTTCAAAACTCAGTGGGTCACTCCCAAAGAGGCTCCACAAATGGTCGGTGCTATTGAACCGTTCCCTTGGCCCAAATCAGGTATCCAACTGTGGAAAACGGCAGTAGCAGCAACTTTTTGGGCGCTCTGGATTGAGTGCAATCAGAGGATCTTTAGAGAAGCTTCCTCAACCCCAAACCTCATCTTCACCAAAATTAAAACAAAGCTGATTTTTTGGGCATCCAACCACAAATACTTCAAAGGTGTGGCTCCATCAGCCTACCACCAGAATTGGAATGCGATACTTCACCATTCCAAAAGAAAAGAACTAAGAGCCTCAAACTGGTGCCCGCCTGACCTCGGACACTTCAAACTCAACTTCGATGGGTGTTCCTTTAGGGAACCCAGGTCGTCCATGAATATGTGTCATCCTTAGGAATCATTTGGGGAATCCGATAGCAACTATCTCCAAATTCATTGGTCACAAGGAATCCATGGAGGCAGAAGCTTTGGCACTACTTGAGGGTATGAGGCTTCTCTCACTACATAGGATTGAGATGGTAACAGTAGAGGGAGATTCCAAGAATGTGATCACCTGTGCCCAGGACTTTTCTTCCATTCCTTGGCCTCTGTTTCACATCTTTCACGAAATATCCCACCGTCGCAGGGGAATTCGAGTCTTTTGGAAGCACACATGGAGGGAAGCAAACCACGACGCAGACACCCTGGCCAAAGCAGCAACTACCGCTGAAGGAGTTCTTTGATTTAGATAGGCTCTCTTCATGAAGGATTACTTGCATTTTTTGGATGGGTTTCTTTTTGTTGGTTGCCTTGTTATCAATGTAACCATCTAAAAAAGATGGCCTTTTAATTCTGTCTACTCTCCTTCCCCTCTCTCTCTCTCCCCCTTGCACCTCTGCTAGCCTCCTGTGGCTAGGTTCTACTATCTTACCGTGTTGGGACCCTTTACTATATATTAACATTCTCAAAAACTTGTACCAGGGTCACTGGAACAGGGGATTACTCTTTGATTATCACAAAGGGGATCGTCCTTTGCTGGGGATCACAAAGGTCACCGGTGCCAAAACCATACATTGAACAGCCAAGGTTAACTGCATATAATCAATATAGCACTTCGAGAAAAAAAGGCCGTATGTGACATGTGTTTTTTCATATAGGAGAACGTATCATTCGCCCCACCAATGTTTTGCCCTATCAGCTCATGCTCCCATGACTTTTATTGGACAAAGGAATTGCTAAATGATAGCTAATTATCTAGCAACATATGAAGTTTGGATGAGTTCAAGATACAAATAAGAATGAAGAACAAGTGAACAAAGAGTTCATGTCCAGGTGAAGCACAGATAATCGTAAAGAAAACCAGGTTGTCATTTGCTTATTTTTCACCCATTCAAAGTTTTAAAATTTTATTTTATTGCCTTATGCAATTATATTTTGTTCACATAAACAATCACAACTCATTTGTAATTTGCCTCAAACAAGCATATTTTGTTCATAAGCAATAGAAAAAAATAGTTTGTTTCAAAACTCTACATTTTTATCAATGCAAATAGGTGTAAGGGGTCATTCACGCAGTTTGTAGATCCATAAATTATGCTCCATAATCCAGCTCATACACCATATAAGTAAAACGAGACAATCGATTCACTTATAACACTGGGGGGAGAGAGAGAGAGGAGGGAAGGGGTGTTGGAGGTAGAGAGGAGAGAGAGGGACGGGAGGGGAGTTGGAGGGAGAGAGGAGATAGAGAGGAAACAATGGACCGATAATAAGTACAAAAAGTAAAGGCCATGGAATCATAGTACAGAACACAAACAATATATAGGATGTTAGGCAAACAAGGATTCATGGTAGCCATAACTAATCATAGAGCTAGAAATCAATGAACAACTACTAAATAGATACATACAAAGGGTTATGTTAGGGTGCTCACACTATAGAGTAATTTATCATTAATTTTAGACACTTATATACCCTTGTTTTGTACATGGAGCTTAATATTCTACGTGGGTGATGTCACACCCCCTGTGGATAATATCACATCGCTCCTAATGACAAAAAATACCCTTGTTAAAAAAATATTTCATGTACTGAAAAAAAGGTATATAAGTCTCCAAAATTTGTTGAGTACAATGATAAATTACTCTAGAGTGTGAGCACCC